ACCAGAACCGTTCAGCCACATCTTTCACAGGAATTTCTAGGCATCCGAAGGTGGCCCATTCAAGCTCTGACTGGGTACAGCAATTGGGTGTCCCTCACCAAGCGAAACTGCGACGGCACTCACAATATTGTACATGAAGCGAATGGAAGAACACTGACGGCTTTTACTAGTTCTTCTTTGTGTCATTTTCTTCACAAGACAAACCATGTGGTACAGGAAAAAGGGGTATTTCAGAATTGTACGTGTTTATAGGAACATTTCAAGCAGTTACTGCTGTGCACTCTCTGCGGTGTCCCATTCCGTCCGAGTCCGTTCCAGATAATAAGTGCAATAATACTCACCGCTGCAAACGTCGATGCATACATAGCAAATGAGGAATGGCCACTAAAGAACGATTTCCGTGCTTCAGTTACCATATCTGGATTACCACTGCACACATATTTGTCATAGTATCTGCAATGTTACTCATAGTCACGACTAATTTCTGATGAAGCATCGCGAGGGGTACTGGAGATGTAGTAGTATAGAGATTGCGCGCAAACTAGCTGGCATTTCTCTCGGTCAGATCACGCAGTCTCGCGCTCGCTGCCATCAGCGGAACATTTCCAAGAACTACTGCTACCGTGATGGTGTAAGTATCGAACGTGTTGAGAGTTTTGTGATGTTCTAGGTGACGGTGTTCTAGAAGCTTCCAAATGCCGTGTTTTGTGGAAAGGTTCCGGTCTTACCTTAAAAAGTTTGGAAACCGACAGGTTCCACAAGGAAATTCTTGAAGGTCTGGAATAGTGAGCTTTATCTGACGGATTCTCGGAGACAAACTGCACTCTTTTCGAGGACGGTCCTTCCCATGAGCGAGGCTATTGAGTCCGCGCTATTGTCCGCACCTGCAGCGCGTGCCACTTTCTCCGCCTAAACGCATAAGGCACGATAATTTGGTACTCGGTCTGAAATTGTAGCACTAGCATTGTAGTACTATGTGGTGAAAAAAAAATGGCGAAGCGAAGTGAAACTGTAGAAATCTGCGATAGAGCCTCTGTCCTACACTTCTCAAACCTAATTTCGGACGAGTTCTCTCGTTGGCATCGTGCCAATAGCTGCATGTATGTACTCATATGTCCATACAGCACCGCAGCCGCTTCATATCAATCCCTTCGCTTCGTATTGTACTTCGCAAATGAAGCGATACGAGCATCAGCATCGGTCGGACATTTGTGGGCGGACGGGCGCGGTGGGCGCCTGGTCGTTGAGGATTGATAGGGCGCTGTAAGTGTATCCTCCTTGGAAAAGGTGCCACGCAGCGCCTGCTCAGGGTGTCTAATTCAATCCTGCTTGGCGCATTGATCCGACACCTGGCAAGCCGGATGCCGTCTCCATACTCCGCCTGCGCTATCTTTAGTGTGCTGCGCATGGGTCGATACCAAAATCTCGCAGCGAACCACTCAGTAAGGCTGCGTTTATACTTTGCGGCAGCGTAGCGTAGCGCTTCCAGCGTACGCCAGCGGCAGTGCCGGGGAGAGGATGGATATCGATCTAGCGTTCCCAGCGTCACCAGCGTAACGCTAGCGTAGCGTTTCGCCAGCGTTTTGCTGGCGTTTGCAGCGGCAGGGGAGTAGAGACTATGTGGCCGTAAGAGACGCGCAATCGATGTGTATTGTAGAGACTATGTGGCCGTGAGAGACGCGCAATCGATGTGTTTTGTACCCTCCAGCTCTCCCAGTCTCTACTCCCCTGCCGCTGCAAACGCTAGCAAAACGCTGGTGAAACGCTGGCGTACGCTGGAAGCGCCGCGCTACGCTAGCTGCCGCAAATTATGAACGCAACCTCAGCAGCAGAGCGCAACCAGGATGATAGTGTTCAGACAAGTAGCGCATTTGGTTATGGCTAGGCGCCTGGCTAGCAGCAGGCCGGGCGAGTATGGAGACGGCACCCGGGTATCTTCACCCTTCAGCCCGGTTCCCGTGCGCTTCAACCGGAGAAAGTGGCACGCTACTGCTGCGAACCCATTCTCCCCACATACGGCAATAACCAGGATTCGCGGAGGTGAGCGTACAATTCACCTCATAAGTTGAGATGTAATCGAGTAATGTTCGCCTCAAATTTGAAGTGGAAATGAGAAATCTAACGATTGTCGAGTTTTTTTGGGATGAAAAATTCCTCAAAAATTCCAAATTTCGGTGTGAAACAAGCGGTATAAGGACACGTTTGGTGCAAACACCCGATTAATTTGATGCCAGAGTGATGCGTTGGGTCAACTAGCTAAGAATGCCACTTAGTTTGCTCGCTATCCGACAATTACTCGGATTTTCTAAGAAAGTGACAGAGAAACACCCCCACCCTGCTCAAGTGTGAAACAACGTACTCATGTCCATTGCATGTGATGTTCAAGGGCTTGCAGACATCAAGAAAGTGGGGTCTCAACCGTCCAACGCAGCGCTTCGTCAAATTTGTCAGCACGAACACGCACATGAAGCCTATTTGAGAATATCCTGGAATTTTCCATAGTCGCTGGACATCAGAAGAAGAGCACAGCACGAAAAGAAGCCTATCGCTCATAGGCTAGTTCTAATGAACAAAAAATGAAAATACCTATGTAAATAATTACTTGAACTATGGTTGCATGAATGTTAGCACTGCCGAGTTTATACCTTGGGGGTGAGCCTTCAGTTATCCTCGCACGGTACGTTTCTGTCGCCACCACCTTAAGAGGAGCATTCAGAATACATTTCGACATTTATCATTATGATTATAGGCGAGAGACATGATTATAGTTTCATAGCACTATTAAAGGCAGCTGGCATGATAAATCCCCTAAGACGAGTAGGAGTAATACGTCTGGTAGGAAGGGATCTCGCGCCCCTGAGCAGGCGCTGCACCGCCTTTTCAGTTAAGGTACCCTTGTAGCGTCCTATCACACCTGCAACATACCAGACGCCCACCGCGCTCGCCCACCCACAAATGGACGACCGTGCCTGATCCCCGTATTGCTTCATCTGCGAAGTAAAAAACATACCCTCCCTCCCCCATGCGCTTGGGCATATTGTACTTCCACTGCTTTACTAGTTCCGGTTCACAAGTTCCACTCTGGTGAAACCTGTGAACTCTTGTGAAGCTGGAGCAAGCTCGTCTAGCCACCATGGTAAAACCCGTCAACTCTTGTCTTGCTCATGAAAGAGCTCTCTAGATGGTTCGGATGCAAAATGCCCCCCACGTCGCCGAAATGCGCCACCGTACGTGATTCTCGTATTGCTTCGAAGTAAAATATGAAGCGAAGGGGCTGATATGAAGCGGCGGCGGTGCTGCATGGATATATGAGCGCATAGGTGCAGCCGTATCTACCGTATCGGTTATTGGCAAGATTACGGGAGAATCGCCCAAAACCTTTTTTCAAGTATTAAGAACGCGTGTCGCGAAGTAAAGTCGTGGAGTAAGACATAAGCAGTTGGCACGATAAATCCTCCAAGACGAGTAGGACTAATACGCCTGGCAGGACGGAATTCCGCGACCCTGAGCAGGCGCTGCATAATGCCTTTTCCAAAGGAGGTGCCCTTATAAGGGCCCTATCAAGCCACAACATTACGACCCAAACGCCCGCTTGCCCGCCCGCCCACAAATGGACGACCGTTCCTGACGCTCGTATTGATTCATTTGCTAAGCAAATTATGAAGCGAAGGGATTGGTATGAAGCGGCCGTGATGCTGCATGGATATATGAGTACACATATGCAGCCGTACCTTCGGTAGCGGTTATTGGCAAGATGCCTACGGGAAACTCGTCCAAAATTGATTACTAACACAGTGAGAACGGAGGCTCTTTTTTCGCAAGATTTTGACCGTTTCATTCCATTCTTTCGCCATTTCCTAACTATATAGTGCCCTACTGGAATTTTGAGCAAAGCACCAAATCATCGTGCCAACTGCCTTTGATGGCGGCAAAAGTCCCTAGATTTCCGGACCGCTGTAGCCGAGCATCGATACAGTGATTGTTATGTTTGTCACTTAAAGTTTCTACACAGATTTAGCTAGACTCCGAAAGATCTCTCAGAGACACCCGTCGATGGATCAATAAAGCGAAATAGAAATGGGGAAATATAATGGATGACTGAAAAAGAGCGAGTGGATATGAAGCGTTTTTGTTGGTGCCAAAAGGGGGGGGGGTTAATAGCAGAGAGTCATCCCATAATGCTGTGTCGTACAGGGCAACTCTCGCTGTAACTTGAGGCGAATGTTCGTCTTCCTAGACGCGCGTGTGAGACAAATACCCCCCCCATACTGTGATGACGCGCGAAAATTAAAGATAATCGCGAGCTACACTACGCGATCAATTTCTCCTGAACAAACTTGCGCCTTGTGACGGCGCCCGCTGTAGCGCTGTTTTCGCGGCAGTGTGGACACGACGCCCCAAACCTCTCCTCTGCGAGGCCCGTACCACCCTCCCTCCCGAGGAGCCGTACGCAGTCGCTTGTTTCGACAGGAATGCTGGCGAGGGGGTCCAAGCCTTGATGGGCTAGGATCCCACGCAGCTAACCATAAGCCACTGTCCCTGACGCATGTTTCAGGAATTGCTGAACGAACTTACCGCAACTATCATCACAACGAAGACATAGAGAAAAAGAACTGTTGGAGTGACTGTATCTTCCTTGTAGGCATACTGGATTGATTCGTCATTGCAGAAGAACCCTCGAAAATGGATGCCCATAAGCTGCGGGACAACCACACCGGCAAACAGTCCTGTAACAGAGATTAGTAAATGTCACATACAGTCCTCATCATTACGGACTGTCGGGGCGGCACAGCCGCGCTGCAATGTGACGCGACAGCGGCTGCGGCTCGGTGACGGCGAATCAGCTGATTTCCATGGAATTCGGCTGCGAATTCCCACTTTTTCAACTCTTCGAGCTTCGAAAGTGGAAGGTGAGTTATTTTGAGCAATTTTAAATTGTACTGACTCTGAATGAATCTGAAAGAATGCAAGCCATTTGAATAAATGCCTGAAATAAGGCAAAATACAAGGAAAAGAGCATATAATCGACATAAAAATAAAGGAAATCAGAGCCAGTACAATTCAAAATTGTTCAGAATAACTCACCTTCCACTTTAGAAGCTTGAAGAGCTGAAAAAGTAGGGGCAGCCGAATTCCATGGAAATCAGCTGATTCACCGTCACCGAGCCGCGCCGTCGCGTCACAGTGCAGCGCGGCTGTGCCGCCCCGACAGTCCGTAATGATGAGGACTGTACGCATTGTGTTGGAAATATTGAGAAGCTGTAACACAACCAGGGTACACAACGAGTTGGGGTTGAGCTAGTTGTAGTTCGAGGTAGGTTCTTGTGATCGATTTGCCCAGCTATTGCATACAGTTCTAGGATGTATGTTCTTATTGGAATGCCATCATTAAACACTTACTAGAATCCATTTCGGAAACAGTTCTGAAGACTCATTATTTCGAACTCCCTATATTTTATTTGATACGGTGATTTACTAAATGACGACCGTGAATGATTTTGTAGACCTTTGGAAAGTATTGGTAAAATTCTTGCATCAAACCATTCGGTCACTGCATACTGTGCGCCCCATGCACATGCAGGAATGAGTGCACTCCATGTTGCTGATAGGGAAGGGCGTGGCTACGGACTTCATTTGCACACGGGGTAAGTTGCGTTGTTCGTGGCATATTTCCATCTAATGGTAAGACGTCTGTTGTCTAGTTCTGTGCTTGACAAAGACAGATTACAATCGTCTCGGAACGGTAGTATCCTACTGGAAACTCACATGCCGGAGCGTTCATATTACGCAGCCACGCCCTCCTTCTCCGTGATATGGAATGGAATACGCGTCTACACTACATATCACATAGAGAGGAGAGCATGGGCCGCGTGCTATTATTACCGTATCAACACAGTCACTCTTCTGTGAGGTGGCACTCATTGAGGTTCGTTTTCACTCTGAAAGACGTTGCGCTACTTCCAGCTAGGATATTCTACTCAGGCCGGAGATGATGTAGTGGCATTTGGCGCCGCTAACCACGCGCATGGTCAGGGGTTAAAGTCATGGATCGACTCCCACACGGCCGATCAAGCCTTCCATCCGATTTGTTTTGGTTGCTGGAACATTAACTTGTACATTGACTGGTCTCCGCAAGTCATTTACAAGTTACCGTACCGCGCTCAAAAAAAATCACAAGAATTTCAAAAGGAAGTAGAATGCGTATTGCATCCCAGTGTTAGCATGGAATGATGTCTTCCCGTAGGCATATGCCATCATTGGGAGAAGGTCACGGCAATAGTGGGATCGCCGCGTAAGCCGTAGGCGGTAAATCGTGGGGCAGGAAGATCTGCAACGTCAAAGGTCAGTTTATTGGATCCCCAGAGTTGTTCGATCGGAGCAAGACAACTTACATGCTTCTTGGTTACTGAGAAACCATCTACTAAGGTGTTTCTTGTCACACGATCACTCCTTCAAGGCACGGTCCGCGATCAGGTATAGAAGTTGAAAATATGGCGTCGGGAGGTAGTGTGGTCCGCGACGAACAACCTTGTACCGGTTTCGCGGCAAAAAATTGTAAGGGAGGGGCGCTATAGCGCAATATAGGTTCAGTGACGCCTCCTTTTTTCCAGTGACTCCGCCTCCAGACTCCGCCTTCAGGGCCCTACCTTTCAGTGAAAAACGAAGTTGCAGGACAAGAAAAAACATGAAAACTGTCTTTGTACGGATCGTAGAGTTCTTATCGGGATCAGCTAGGCGGATGAAGGTGTAGTGTTAGAGATGGAGTTAATTGGGTACGTACGAACTGAGATCGGAATGCGGTTCTGTCCTGGGCAGTTAGCACGTCCTTCATACCGTATTATTCACAACGTTGTCGTCTATATGCATACCCCTAATGGCGAATAATTGCGGGCTTTACCTTTGAGACCGTCGCTCCACGATTGTCCTTACATCAGCCTTCGTAACACCAGGGCTTCCTAAAGGGTCTCCCAACTGTGACATCCTTCTCTCCAGTGCATTTTCGCTGTCTGATGGACTGCTGTTGGTGTAGCTCATCAGAAGAGCGAAATTGCACTGAAGAGAATGATAACAGATGATGAAGGTCATGAACGGCACACCGGGCATTTCCATCACACGACCCTTATCTATTCAATCGTCTTTAGATTATTGCTGCTAAGCCTATTTTATCACGACATGGCACATGTCAGGGGAACAACAATTGGGACAGAGACGAAAGACTGGAGTATGTCCACAAACCAGCGCAGCAATTAGATCAAGTTAGCCCAAACTTCAGTAAGGCTTACTCAATCAGCCCTACTCTCACTCGGCTACCATTGTACCAATGTTGATGGTACCATTCCAGCAATGCAACTAATCTCATTAATTTTGCGTCAAGTCTCCCGGTCAGTTCATCCAACTACAGTGGGTTTCCATATCTCACCAAGACCATCAGAGGGATGACAGCAATATTCACAGAACTTTATTCAGCAATCCGAGATTGTTATAAGTCCTTTACCAGACTGACGTTTCGGCAGTATTGCCTTCTTCGGAGCCTGCAAATCAAAACCTATTTTCGAAACAATTCGCCCTAGTCCCATTTCAGATAGCATAGTGAAGCTCAAGGTAAAGCAGTCTATGAAAAACATCGTGAAGAGGGCTAACCTTTTGAGGAGATGGCGTTCGTAGTCGGCACCCTGAGCTTGAGGATCTGGTAGTGAGACTTTTATATGTATTTGGAACGCGTAATTAGGGTCAACC